ATATCGCCCAGCTCTACTATTAACACCAGTTTCCTTATATTTTATGGAGTTCTACTTAATTATGTTAATTTACCCAATATTTAGCTATAGGTCTGGATCATAAAACTCGGCACCTCATCCGTTTGGTCTCCATCTATCTATTGCTTATATGTAACTAAGCTTTCATGCTACCCAGCTGTTTTCCTTTTTAATTCAAATTGTAATGTTTTTATTTATTTGAAATTAGCACAATGAATCCTTTTGTTGACCGATTAAACTACAGCAGCACCAAAGTATCAGCTCACATCATCAAAAACGGTAACGACTTCCTCAAAGAAGGCACCGCACCAGATTGATATTCGATATCACGGTGGTCTGAAGCTCGCACACAAGTTTTAAGTTTTTACTTCAGGGCACACTGCGCTCTGGCTAGTTCCGGGTTGTCAGCCAATGAGAATGAGCCACAACAGAGGAATTCACCAACCGGCGAGCTTCATTCAGAGACACATACAGAAACACGAATAGTCCCACGTTAACTTCAGCATCAATACAGGAGCAAATATTAAAGAAGGTCAAACGCAGCAAACCTTCATAAATCTCTTAAATTAACAATGCTAGCAGCTAGAAGTTATCTAACTGCTGTCAATGTGTGGTAGCGCCTAATGCTAGCTTGATGCACTCCTACACCTTAACAAAGTTACCTGCACTCAAACTCTAGCTTTTAACGATTATAGCTACTGCAACTCAAACACATACTGTAAATTACAGCTAGTTCTAACAGTGATGTTCAACACTACCGGCTACACTGCAGCCGGATAACTTGACTAGTTTTGAGGGTTGCAGGAGGAAACACAGCCAGAAGGCCTCCTCTGTGAACCTGCTAAACATCTGCAACACTAACAGCGTACATACTGGTCAACTCAGTCACTTCATAAGCCACGTCCCATGCCAGCAGAGGCTCGTCGCTTAGCTAGCAGCTAACTAACCAGCGGCAATTACTTAGCTAAGCTTAGCTATGGAAGCTACCAACAGCCTGCGGTTACCGTGCACAGTCCACGGCTTTCATTTGAATACATACCAGCAGTACAGCCGTGACAAAGCGGACATCCACAGAGGGAGGTAGTGCTAACAGTTTCATTGTATGGTGCATTTATTGGAGGTGGTGGTGTTAAGTCTTCCCAGTATGTCTCGACGCCGCTCTTCTCACTGCAGCAGGAAGCCGACGGCGAACCAATCTCACGGTGACCACGGAAGCGTGAGCGACACTTCCTGGTAGTTGCTAGGCTTTGTGGATACTGTAGTTTTTCTGGTACCTTCAAGCGGCTCACTTGAATGAAGAGAAAACTCAAATTATGGCGAGTTGTTGTTTTACGATACTAACGGGAGTTGTAGTATTTTGTCAACACAGACAGTGGCGATTCAACGGGACGTCTTGGAAGAAAACTTTTCAAAGATTTTCATCCTCGCCGAAAGAAAAACTAACGGTAAATATGACGACGACGAAGAGGAGTGAAGGGAGCACTTTGTTAAAATGCTATGGCACGAGTGTTTTACTGAGCGGATCCATTGCCAAACACAGTTTTTTTTCTCTGGACTTTTTCAGTGCGATTATGAATAACTGATTTCTCTGAACACGATGGAGTTGCATCATTATGCTTGAGTTTTTTGCAATACTCCTTTGTTCACCGTCTAGCTATGTGCTTTATGTTTTCCAGCTAAAACAAACTTGGTTGCACAAATCTTTTTTAAATATTTAGATACCTACTTTGATTCACAACTCTCCAAAACCTCTGCAAATGTTCTCCATAAAGAACAAGAAGGAGGAAAAAAGACCGTTTGTGGTTAATTGCTGGTTTTTAAATCACTGTTTAACAACTCAGAGCTATAACTATTATAAACAATCTGTTACTCTGAGACATGTCTCCCCTGCCTGTAATCAGTACAGTGTTATGCTGGCAGTTATTTGTTTGAACAGGTGGGCTGATCTCAGTATGTGAGCGAGCCTCTTTCTCTGCCCTGGCAGGAGTCAGGATCAGGACAGGTAGGGGACCTGGATGCACATTCACACCCACTGAGGATGCTCTGAACTGGGAAACATCTGCTGAAGTGTCCCCCTTAACGCAGATATGGTAAGACTCCGGTGCACTTAGTGCAGTTAACCAGGTCTAATTTGATGTATAAATCCCTGAAGTTTATTTTTCTATTGGTAATGTCTTTAGTGTCTCAGCTGAACTCCCGGTCTTTAAATCTCTCTCTAGAGTCAAGACCGTGTGTAACAAAGCTAATTGTGTGTGTGTGCAGCAGCAACCTAATTGTTAAGGAGATTAAGCTGGAATGTTGAATTGAATCCCAGCATTAATATTTTATGGGCTAAAGCTGTCCATAGGGGGCTCACAGTGTGCGAGCAACTCGCAGATGGAGTGGGGAGGATTTCTCAGTGATAAAGAGAGGGAGGAGCTCCATATCCTTTGGGTGTCAGTGCACATTTTATGTATATATATGTAATTATGAGGTATGAAAAATCCTTTGATAAACTGTCTTTACTGTGTTTGCTCATAGATGATTAATAATGTGAATTAAAGTTGGATCAAAGTTTTGAAGAGCAAACAACTTTTACTGTTATTTTAATTTAGCAAAAATATTACATGTTATTTATATAAAATTACTCATTGAGAAGAGGTAATGATGTAAAAGTTGAATATTGGTCAATTAACTAAATACTACTGAACAGAAGGACATAGGAAAAATGAATATATATATAAATAATTTGGGTGTTGCAACTACTTATTTTTGTGAAAAACTTTGCTGTTGAACTTTAATTATGTTTTGCATACAGTCACAAAAAAGAAAGTATACCCTCTTTCATTTCTAGAGTTGTACATATCAGAACATAAAAAAATCATAATCAACACCAGATATGTTAAACTGTCATTATTTATTTAGCAAAAACTAAGCCAAAAAGCAGAATCTGTGTGTGGAGAAGTAAGTACACAGTAAGTAAAGTATTGTTTCCATAGGAGTTAACCTGTTAGCAGTCGGACGTACCGCCCACGGTACATTGGATGGTTTAGGGGACTAATTGTAAATTTGTAGGACTGCTAAGGGGTTAAGAGGTTGATTAGCATCCAGGTGCTGCTAATCAAATGCGCTTGTTTTACTCATCATCGGTAATGGTGAGCACCTTTATAAAAGCAGATGTTTTGGCGGCTTGCTGGGAAGGCTTATAAAGCCATTTCGAAACATTTTCAAGTTCCTCATTCTACCATGAGGAAGATTATTCACAAGTGGAAAGCATTCAAGGTAGTTGCCAATCTTTCCAGGATTGGACGTCCCAGGAAATTCACCCAAGGTCAGACTGTGCAATGCTCAATGAAACTGCAAAAGACCCAAGAGGTGCATCTGAGAATCTCCAGGCCTCAGTTTGCATGTTAAATGTTAACGTTCATGACAGAAAGACTGAAGAAAAAACTGAGCTACTACACAGCTTAGGTTTACAAAGCTGCATCTGAACAGACCACAAGACTTCTGGAACAATGTGCTTGACATACAGCAAGACCAAAGTGGAGATGTTTGACCATAATGTACAATGAAAACCAAATACAGCACATCAGCACAAACACCTCATACCAACTGTCAAGCTCGGTGGTGAAAAGGTGATGATTTGGTTTTGTTTTGCAGCCACAGGACCTGGGGACTTTGCACTCATTCAGTTGACCGTGAACTCCTCTGTATATAGGCCATCCTTTTGACAAAACTGGGTCATGCAACAGAAAATTAATCCCAATCACGCCGAATCTACAACAGAATGACTGAAAAGAAAAAGAATGAGGTGTTGCAATAACCAAGTTTAAGTCCAGGCTTCAGCCTGATTCAAATGCTGTGATGAGATATTAAATGAGCTGTACATAAACAAATGCCTACGAACCTCAATGAACTGAAGCAACACTGTAAAGAAGAGTAGGTCGAAATTCCTCGACAACGATGTGAGAGACAGATGAAGTCACACAGAAAATGACTGCTTCAGGTTGGTGTTAACGGGGGTTCAGTAAGCTATTGAATGACTGTGTGTACTTCACACATTGCTTCTGTGTTTTGGCTTAGTTTTTGTTAAATAATGTCATGGTGTCATGTGCTGTTGTTCATCTCAGCTTGCTGTGATGTTGTGAGGCATGGAAAATAAGGGTACAAGATGACTAATAACATACAGCGTGTCAGGGTGTTTCCAGGCTCAAAGTGGGAATGCTCCACATTGTCTTAACAGAAGTCTGCATTTCTTAAAAATATATATATGTATATATATAGCTTTGTAAATGATCTCACCGTTTTTTCCTCTTTTTTTTTTTTAAAAAAAAGGTTCAATCTTAAGTATTTTTATAACAGTTCTGGTGAATGTCCTTTGGTGGAAAGACCTAACCCTCATTTTCTGGGTGCCAAAATTTTTTACATGCAGGGAAACCCCAGTGAACATGTTAACCCTTTTCAGCGTCCTCATCTGACAATGTAATTTGTCATCACACTAGCTGCAGAGTAATGCAGCACACTCTCACACCGATCTGATTTCCTCTGTCCATCTGCTTTCTGTTTTGCCCTCGCCTCCCTTTTCTGCTTTCTCCATCTTTTTTCCATTTCGCATTGCTCCCATTGATTTTTTTGTTTGTTTTTCCAGCTGATTATGTCCCTCTACTCTGATTCGCCGGTGGGCACATTGCTCTCTGCACTTTAATTGGACATTTAATTAGATCACAGTTTTAGTCCAATTAGACTCAGAGGTGTGGGGAAAAGAGGATGGTGGGGAGAAGAGGAAAAAGTCCCCAAGCTGGTGTCTCTGCCCTCCCTACACTGCCTTCTCATTCTCTCCTCTATCTTTTTTCTTCATCTCTCTATTTCTGTCTGCCTTGCTGTCTCTCTGCCCTCCCTCCTGAGGGTGGCTCATTAGTGATATAATGGGATGACACAAAACACACAGCTCCTCTAACTCTCAGAGTGTCTCAAGCAGTGGCTGAACTACACAGACAAGGTTATGGGGACTCTGCTGGTAGTGTTAGAGAACTTGTCTGTTGTTGTTTTTTTTGTTATTGTTGTTGTTTCATCCCTTCTTCTTCTTCTTGTCTTTGAAGCTAAAAAGAGGCTAAGTGAAAATGTTGACAGTCTGCCACTCAAGACAGAATTGATCAGCCCACAAATGTGCACACACACACACACACACACACACACACACACACACACACACACACACACACACACACACACACACACACAACAAACCAATCACAAGCTGGGCAGAACCCTATCGACTTAGTGTGATATCACAACACCTAATGACACTAAGATAAGCTTCACTAGCAGCAGTCAAATTCAGGGCTGCACCAGTTCCCGCCCTCTTTCTCCCCCTTTTGTTGTCATAGTCTTTGCACGGAGCATAACAACACTGTTTCCCAGTGGATGAAAACACATGGGCGAATGTAAACACGCACAAAAATACACCCTGATGTATGCAGATATGCACGCACTTAGGCTCAGGTGTAAGTTCTCAGAGGGCACAAGCCAATCTCTGTGTCCCTTAAGCAGTTGTGCGCACACACACACACACACATTCTGTGCTTTCTGAGTATCTCAGGAGGAAGATAGAGAGCCAGGCTCTAATGTGCCTCTGCCCACACACACGCCTTTCCATCCTACACTTCATATCTGAATCACTAATCTCTATACATATACCATATGTGTGTGTGTGTGTGTGTGTGTGTGTGTGTGTGTGTGTGTGTGTATCGGTGGTGTGTGTCTGAGTGAACGGCAGTCAGGCAGGGGTGTTTTAGCCACAGGCGTCACTACTTGACCCCCGTGGCTGTGAGATTGACAGCTGTGGTCCCACCTAATTGCATTACTCTCCCAGGTGATTGGCTCACACCCTAGGGGCTCATTTGTCAGGATGCACTGTGGTAATGATGTAAATTAGCAGATCTATGTGTCACTCAGCCTGCTTCCCTCCTGCTGATTGGCCCCGCTGTGCCCAAGGGCTCGGCCCCCAGCTGAGGGAGCCAGCTCATTGGTCCTTAGGGAAACAGGAAGTCCCCGAGAAATAGGGCTTTACAGATTGGGGATCCTTAAGGGCTGATATTATCCTTCCTCCAACATCTATACCTGTCAGTCAAAAAAAATCGAGGAACCGACCCCTGAAGCTTCTCTCCTCTATCAGATACATGCATGTAGGAACCCATAATAACCCCGTGATGGCTAAGAAGCTAAGGGCTCTCTGCTCTAACTGTATAAACGGTAATAAAAATGTTTGCGTGCGTGCTCTAGAAATGAAATAAAGGCCACAGGCTCAGGCTCTGTCCCCCATTGCTAACCCAGCATGCCCTAGTCATGTCGCCTATCAAAAGCAGACACCTTCACAGTGACAGACAAGTAGAGAAGCACACACACACACACACACTTTTTTACCTGTTTGTCTCAACGGCATCAATTGAAGCGTTACTTTCAGTGAGTGTGTGTCTGTCAGGAGGCAGCAGCGCGTATGTTTGCAGCACTCCTGTCGTGTTTCTGAAAGGTTTCGTCGGAGTGTCTAGATTCTTTGTTAAAATCTCTGCAGTTATATGAGGCAGAATATGAATAAAGACTAAATAATGTCAGCATCAGCATGAATCAATACTCATACAGATGCACAATCACTTGGTCTGGACCTCAGTCCATGATCAATGGTTTACTCTGAGTTATTGTCTTCATATTAACAAGCGGAGTGCTCCCTGAGGAACGCGTATGAATGGCTAAATGAGACCACTCCAAACCTCTCAACAGGACCTTGTGTTGTGTTTACACCCTCCTTTGTCTAGTTTCAGACGCTGCATTGCAAAAGCCTTTTTAGCCAAATTTGGATGCACTGTAGGTGTTTCCAAAACACTCAGGTCCTCATAAAACTCTAATTGCCCACTCTTGGTGATATGAATGTCCCTCGCATAGATTCAGATATTGACTCGTGTCCCTCATGTTGATGTTTGGCCAAATTATAACTTTTGTTTATTTATTTATTTTCCTGCATCTAATATTATTCATAAATCAATTCATATTTTAGTCTGACTGCTGGGGGCTTTCAAATAGACTTGAGAAGTGTAGAAAAGGATAAAAATTAATGGACAAAAGGAAAGAAGTTTGGCTTGAGTGCACGACTTAAAGGAGGTCTTGTGATCATCTCTTTTTTTTGTATAAAAGAAATCATAATAATAAAATTGTATTACTTGTTTGTGCAGCTCTGGAATATCTGCTGTTTGTGCGTGCATTAAGTTAAATATTTGCAGACTCTGTGAGTGTCTGAGTGAGCATTTCCATCTGCATTACTGACTGGGGTAATGACTTTAAATTAGAGACGTTTGTGGTTGATTTTGGTAAAGCTCGTGTAAAAACTGTCTCTCACGGAAAATCACTTCCCATGACATGGCACATGTGCCAAACACACACGCTGACACACTAACACACACCTTCAAGGTGCCGCTCCCCCACTACTACCACCACCACCCGCTTGATCTCACACATAGCCTTACCTCGCAGTAAATGTTGTAACGAACTTGTATTAAGTCTCTGCCACTACTTGGCAGTGCGTGAGAAAGCAGGAGCATGATGGGTAATTGCCGTGCTGCACGCAGTGTCTACGGGAGCTCTCTTTACGAGGTGACTAGGGGGAGGAAGAGGGGGATGAGAAACGATGGATGGAAGACACCGCAGTGTTCCCTCACCTCCCCGACCAAAAGTTTAGAAGTGTTTTTAAAGCTGCGAATGCTTAACACTTATCAGTAACTCCCCTCTGCTGTATCGGCATGAAGTCTCTTTAGATGGTCAGTTTTGGGTAGCATCAGATCTGGGAGTTAATGAAAACGTCTCGGAGAAAACTCTGATTGTGGCATCAGTTTGTGCCTCCAGCATTTATGTGTTTAAGGGCAATAATTGATTTCTGTGCTGCGCTCCGCAGGGCTTGTCCCACATCTCCAAACCGAACACACAAGCTCACACATGCATGCGCGCTCACACACACACACACAGATATAAACACGGCAAGGCATGCTGCAGTATTAATGAGACATGAATAAGACATGAAGAGAGACCCCCCTCTTACACGCTCACACAGGGTCTCCCCCTCCCCAGCTGCTTCCTGTCTGCACGTTACCCAGCTTTCACTGCGCTCTGGTTAAGTGGGGCCAGGAAGAGATTTAACCCCCTCAGCGGGAGCACACACACACACACACACATACACACACACACAAGCGCATACTTTCAATTGTGCACACTCGCAGTCCCTACTGCCAGCTCACATTAGCTCCCTGATTTTGTTATCGGCTGTACGCATTTTGCTGTACGATCGACTGCTTGTGGAGCTTCAGGTGTTTATTATCTGCCCGCAAGACGATCCGTGTGTAACATAGTAATGGCCTTCTGAATGGCTCAATCACTGTTTGCTTAGTATACAGAAAAACTGTGTCTATATTCTCTGATCTCGAGAAATGCAGTTTTATTTAGAATATATTTATTTGTCACACAATATGATATTATACTGAACATGAAGCACTTAATTGTGAGTGTGTCCAGTAATGAGGGTGTGCTTTGAGTCAAGTGAATGCAAAGGAAACTGTCTAGACCCAGTTTAATGTCACTTTGTTAAACTGTGTGTGTGTATATGTGTTGCTGCAGCTCCAGTTGTGACCTTCCATCTGTTTGTGTTGCAGGCCTCAGCGACGTCCAGCCCGGGACCTGCCTCTCTGGGCTCGCAGGTTCATGCAGCAGCTGTCAACGGAGACAGAAGCGCTCTCCTCAAACTCATCACCGGTAAGCAGCACATCTTAGGTTCATGAAGTCACACGAGTCATGGCATGTGGCATAAATTAGAAATGTGTAGTAAAAGAATATAAGAGGGCAAATATGAGGATGCAGGTTATGAGTGCTAAAGTGCTTCCTTGTGACTCTTAGCAGCTCCAAATAAATCGTTTTTTCTCTTTAAGTACAAGAACTTACAAGAATGAATTCTGTGGATTTTCACCAAAATCGTGGTCTCTATTGGGGTCTTAACCTCTGACTTAAACCTTCTGTTGTGCTTCATGTGTGTCCACATGTAGCAGAGCCCTTGCTGAAGGACCGTGAGGACCAGTTCGGCCGGACCCCTTTGATGTACTGCGTGCTGGCTGACCGTCTGGACTGCGCAGAGATTCTGCTGAAAGCCGGAGCATCGGTCAACAAGACCGACCTCAGCCAGCGAACCGCTTTGCACCTCGCTGCACAGAAGGTACGGGCATTCGCAGATGTGCAGCTGAACACTGGAGCACACACATAAAGCACACTAATGTCATCAGTTACGTATGTCGGCCCTTTTTATGTCATTATCCTGACAAAATTCATTCGCAAATGCCATAATTGGATAGATTTATTAAGGTGAAATGAATATGAACCCAAGGTGTGATCTCATAGAAGTTAAATAACAGAGAAATTTTGACAGTCTGTCAGCTCCAATGGGAAGCCAGTGCCCCCTAGTGGCTGTAATTATGGCCTTAGGGCTTATTGAAGATAACATGACCTGATTTATGGGCCTCAGACACAAGCAGTGTAGCTATGAGCTTCCTATGCACATGCTTGTACATGAAGAATTATTCTGCATGGAGTATTTCTGCTGTTTCACAGCATTTTAGACACACAAACGTGTGAAAGAGGAGGGGCTTGATGTTCTTTTCAGTTCAATCTACACACTTAGGGACAATGAAGACAAAGAGTTAACGACAAAACCTCCAGAGTGATGAGAACAACGGGGATGTGGTGCTAATAATATCTCTTTACCTCTCTGTTATTTATTGGCAGCTTCTTTTATTAGAGTGTACTGATACAGGATCATCATATCACTGAAGGGAGAGGGAAGGTAATAGGTTACTAGGATCTGTCTCGTAGATGGGGAGTGTGTGTATGTTGGGGGATACTAGTGATGGGAAGCCCTGTCTCTTTGACATCTGATCAATAAGTGGCTGAGACAGCGAGAGAGGCAAGGGATTACTGATCTAATTGGACTGAGAATAGGAGGACAGGAACACACACACACTCTCTTAGAGTCTAGATGCATGCTCACACACGAGATAGATCTGTCAGTCTGTGGCTTTGTGGTCATAGAACGATACTAAACACCCTCATACATGTTCACCCTCGCACTGCTGCTGTGTGGCCACTGTTGCACCCAGTGGCCTGCTGGTGAAAGACCAAAAAAGTGAGTATAAAGATGATGATGATGATGAGGAGGGGATGGCAGGCAGAGTGCTGCTGTTTACTGTTTAACAGCTCATCACACACACTGAGGAGTGAGGCAGGAGGAGGGAACGAAGATGGATGACCTGTGGATTGAACCAGACGCGGCTAAAAGCCCGGGGAGTGTGTGTGTGTGTGTGGGAGTGTGTGTGTCATTGTTGCTGGTTCATGACTAATGTTGAGGAGAATTGGCGATTTCTGAGCTTCTTATCAGCACAGTTTGTCCCTCTTGTGTGCTGCAGGGGAACGTGCGTTTCCTGAAGCTGCTGCTGTCCAGGCGTGCTAACTGGCTGCAGAAAGATTTAGAGGAAATGACCCCACTCCACCTGGCCACCAGACACCCCTCACCTAAAGCGCTCGCCCTGCTCCTCAAACATATTGGACCTGGAGAGGTTGACACACAGGACAAGAATAAGGTAGTGGAGTAGAGTGCGTAAATATCCATCTGTCTTTATAACTGTTCTCAGTCACAAAACAGCCAGCCAGGGCGTCAAGCCATTAACCTTCAAACAGACTCACTCAAAGCCATTTGGTAGATGCAGCGGCGGTTTTAAGTCATACACACATTAAGTCATACATACATAAACACGTTCAGTGAAAAGCTTAACAAGCTGTAGCTTTGTCCTGTGTTCTTGCTGATAAAACCACAAACACACAGTGTTCTCTGTCTGCTCAACCTGATGTGTATCTGACATCAGTAGTTAGTTTTGTAATAATCCAATATGCATCATCGTGTCAGATGACAGTGGTTTCAGCAAATCTCAGAATAGCTCAGTTGTCGGCATCTAGGTTTAAATCTCAGCTCACTGGTGGATCTTCAATATGAGCTTTGTGTAGCACGTTCCCTCATATTTCCTGGCTGTATCATAGTGTAGTGATTTTTTTTTGAAGTGGAAACCTCAAACCCAGTCTTACGACTGCCCATTTTAATTTTAGCACCATTGACAAATCTTTGTGTCATCTTTTATCGTCATTCTGTCGACAGCAAACTGCTCTTCACTGGTCGGCTTTTTATAACCGACCAGAACACGTTCGCCTTCTGATCAAGCACGACTCCAACATCGGCATCCCAGACAGTGAAGGCAAGATCCCCCTGCACTGGGCTGCACACAGTCAGGAGCCCAGTGCCACAGAAACTGTCCGCTGTATACTGGTACACGCCATATCCACACACACGATCACAAATTCATTTGTCTTCATTTCCCATCCTCACACATCAAACCTGCATGTTTGCATCTTTTCTTGTTGCTGTCTGTGTTTGTGTAAAGGAAGCAGCACCCACTGAGTCCCTGCTGAACTGGCAGGACTATGAGGGTCGGACGCCCCTTCACTTTGCCGTTGCTGATGGCAACGAGGCAGTAGTGGAGGTGCTGACGTCTTATGAGGGCTGTAATGTAACAGCTTATGATAACCTCTTCAGAACACCGCTGCACTGGGCTGCTTTGCTGGGTGAGTTGACACACATCTTATATGCAGTTTATTATTATAAGAACCTGCAAGAATTTCAGGCTTTTTAGAAATTATGTCCTTAAAAGCTAAACTACCAGTCGAATTTAGAATCCACATTTTTTCCTTTCTAGCAGCTTAGGTTTCAGTCTCTCAGCCACTTTGGTGATGGGCAGGTTGGCAAATGAGGTTAGGCAGAAGTGTCCATTTACTCCATTTCAGTGTTTGCAGATGACACTGTAGTGAGAACAGGGAGCAGGTGAAAAATAGGTAAAAGGGTGGAGGTATGCTCTGGAGAGAAGAGGAATGAAAGATGCTTGAAGCGAGACAGAATACATGTGTGTGAATGAGAGGGAGACAAGTGGAAAGGTAAAGATACAGGAGTAGAGGTAGTGGAGATGGATGAGGTGAAATACCTGGGGTCAATCCGAATCCAAAGCAAAAGACAGTGCACAAGAGAGGTAAAGAAGAGTGTAGGGATAGGGTGGAGTGGGTGTTATGAGTATGAGGGGTGATTTTTGACAGAAGGACAGCAACAAGAGTGCAGATGGTAGTGAGACCTGCAATGATGTATGGTTTGGAGATGGTGGCACTGACACAAAGCCGAGCTGCAGGTGGCAGAATTTAAGATTTTCATTGGGAGTTGCAAGGATGGACAAGATTAGAAATGAGAACATCAGAGGGACAGCTGGGGTCACATGTTTAGGAGACAAAGTTAGAGAGGCAAGGCTAAGATGATTTGGACATATGCAGTGGAGGGATAGTCGGTATATTGGACAGAGGTTGTTGACGCTGGAGCTCACAGACAGGAGGAAGAGGAGGAAGTACTCATAGGAGGTCCATGGATGTAGTAAAGGAGGACATGTAGAGGGTTGGTGTGACAGAGACATGGTCAGATTTCATGACTACTAGCGAGAGCAGCCAAAAGAAGAAGAATGGATCAGATAAAATGGCATTAAAATGTGTGGTGTGAAGGCAACACCCAGACTTTTTCTCTGGTTCCTCCAGCAGTTCTATTTATTTAGTCCTATTGTGTGAACACTTCCAGTTATCTTACACTTTCACTCAAAAGTTTGAAGTGCTTTTTAGATCAGAAATGTTATAAGTGACCATCAAAGATTAATACTGTCATTAATCATAAGTCATTTTTAACTGAATGTCTGTGGAAGGAATACAGACGCACATTTCAGCAACCACCCTGTTCCAGTGAGACTTGAATCGATTAAGTTAACACAGCAGATAGCAAATGTGCTGTTTTTAAAAAAAGGAAAAAATGTGCCTATTTGGGCGTGTGGCAAATCATCCTAAATGGGTTTGATCATAGTCACACAGAAAATAAAATAAAATTCCTTCAGAAACTTCACAATATACAAGTTCTGAGAAACGGAGTCTTGTACTTAAAAACCAGTTAAAGCAAACAAACAAATGATTTCATAGAAAAGTGGGAACTACTCAGTAGTCTCAAAAGTGTGCAAAATTGGCTTTAACCAGAACAGAAAGAGAAGTGGGAGGCCGAGGTGCAAAACCACGTCTGTGGTTTAAAATAAGACATCTCACAGGGGCACAACTGAAAACATCATTAAACAGTCGTCATACAAGCAATTTTTTGCTGGTTTGTGACGTATTTTCATATATTTGTCGCTCAGAATAGCCTTTATTTACATCAAAAATGACTCCAAACTTCTGGGTGACAGCATGTGTGATAGCGACCTGTTTATTTCTTTAGTGTCACGTTAACTGTGCAAACAAAAACACACGCTGCATCTGTAAGATGGTGTGGTTGAGCTGTCGTCCTGGCGCTTCACATCCTTGTTTCCCAGCATGTCCCTCTGATGAAAAACGTGTCTTTTTCAGGCCATGCGAAAATCGTCCACCTGCTGCTGGAGAGGAACACATCAGGCACTATTCCCTCAGACAGCCAAGGGGCAACACCTCTGCACTATGGGGCACAAAGCAACAATGCTGTGAGTCACTGACTCACATATTGTTACCTCCGCCAAGGAGGTTGTGTTTTGGTAGTGTTTTCCTGTCGTGCTGTCTGTAAACACGATGTCTCAAAAAGTTTTGAAATAATTCCAATAAAACTTTGTAGGGGTGTAGAGTGGGCTTATGTTAACAATCCAACATCCAGTATCTTCACCTTGGTCCAAAAAACAACACAAATAACCTGCGTTTTTCTTTCTGTGTGCATGAAGGAGACAGTTGGCGTATTCCTGTCCCATCCGTCGGTGAAAGACGAGCCCGATCTAGAGGGGAGAACAGCGTTCATGTGGGCTGCTGGGAAGGGCAGTGACGATGTCATTCGCACCATGCTGGCCCTCACCCCAAACATTGACATCAACATGGCAGACAAGTACGGTGGCACTGGTGAGGACTTGACAAACCAGAGGAGGAACTAAAGCTCCTCCAAACTGCTTTGGCCCACTTCCCCTGTCCTCTGTGTGCTTCGAGGGAATGATGACATAATTTCCCTGGTCTTAATGCTCTATGTACACATACATACTACATACCTTTGTCCTTACTGGTTGCTTGTTTTAAAGTTGGGATGATGATGTCACAGGGGATTCCCCCAAAAGTGCAAAAGAGGCAGTGAGATCACAGGAGAGAGGGAAGTGATACTGTGAGCAAAATTAATGTGAGCTCGTCACAGACGCGCACTACTGCCAGCACTGTCCTTTGACAAACACACATACATGCAGGCGCACATGACTTCCCGCCACGCTTTGACCCCCCGGGGCTATTTGAACCTATAATCTCCATGGCGATAGCCCCTCTGCTCGACGGTCATTGTTTATGCATGAATTACATGCAACGGTTGAATCATGCTAATTAGACAGTGTGAAGGGCAGTGTAAATGACCTTCCATGCACTTGACTCCAGTCTGTACTGTCTGGGGACTGGAGTGAGGGCAAGGTGGGATTTCCACAAGGAGGATTAAGTACACCACTCCTCATTAAATGTCTCCCCCTATTTAACCCTTCACTGACCAGGCTTTAGCCACAGCCCAAACAGGAGCATCAGTCAAAGGAGTGATGTGGAGAAAAAGAAGGGACAGACCTGAGGAGTGATTCAGGACATCATGTTTTATCATGTGCATGTGTGTGTGTGTGTGTCTGTTTAAACAGCGCTCCATGCGGCCTCCCTGTCAGGCCATGAGAGCACAGTGAAGCTGCTTTTGGAGAAGGGCGCAATGGTTGACTCTCTGGATGTCATGAAACACACACCACTGTTTCGTGCCTGTGAGATGGGACACAGAGATGTCATACTAACACTGATCAAAGGTGGGTGTTCATTAACATATGTTAGTTACACTTTCTCAGTAATTTCGGGAAAGTCTTATTTCCTTTTTCAGTTTTCCTGTGATCTTTGTAGTCATGCGAATGTTTTGAATAAAGGTTCTGCACGTGTTGACCTGGTGGACGTAGATGGTCACACTGCTCTACACTGGGCAGCTCTAGGAGGGAACGCTGAAGTCTGTCAGATACTGATGGAGAATGGGATAAGTCCCAATGTACAGGTATGCATAAACATATTTCACTAAGGGAGTAGTTGTTTTTAATACTTGGATTAAAATCATTTGCAGGCAACGGGCGTCTAAAGTATAGAAGCCTAGCTAAGCTAAGCTGTCTTATTTATAAAGAGATTTGAAACAGCAAGTGCTGACTAAAGTGCTTAAGAACAGAATAAATATACAAAACCATTTATACAAAAACAATTAAAACAATGAAAATCACCTCTCACACTGTGGAAAGTGAAAAGAGGTAGGTTTTAAGAAGTGACTTAAAATGGGCAGTGCAGAAGCCTGTCTAATATGCAGTGGCAGCGAATTCCACAACTTAGGTGCTGCCACAGCAAAAGATCTGTTCCCTCTGAGCTTTTGCTGTGCCCTCGCATTATCTAGGAGCAGCTGATCAGCTGACCTGAGCAACCAGCATGGTGAGTGCACATGTAAGAGCTTAGTTAGGGTGGGGTAAGACTATTTAAAGGCTTGAAAACAAACAAAAGAAGCCATAGACATGTTGTGTTTCCTCTCCTATGATGATCCACCAGATGTGCTGCTTGTTTGTCAGTCTCTCCATTAAATAACTGGGTCATTATCCATTTGCAGTGTGAAGTGTGTCTGATCTGTTGACAGCATTTGGCTGAATCTAAGCAAAGAGTACACTCTACTGTTCATCCTGCAACTTCTATCAGCAGCCAGATCATCAATGAACACTAGTGACCCAGTTCCTCTGGATCATACTGTACATGCCCATACCATAACATTGCCTCTGCCATGTTTGACAGATGATGTGGTATGCTTTAGATCATGAGTTGTTTCTCTCTTTTTCCAGGCTTTTCTCTTCACATCATTCTAGTACAAGTTCATCTTGCTTTCATCCATCCTAGAATTCTTCCAGACCTGTTTTGGCTCTTTTAGATAGTTTTCTTGCAAAGTGTAATCGGACCTTCTTGTTCGTGAGTGTAACCAATGGTTTGCACCTTGTTGTACACCCTCTGTCTTCATATTCATAAAGGGTGTCTTTCAATTGTGGACTTGGAAAGTGATACTCCTACCTCGTCAAGTGTGTTCTTGATTCAGATAGGTGGTGTAAAGTTGTTTTTCTTAATCCTGGAAATAATCCTCATCACACACTCTAGTTTTAGTTTTTAGTCCTTTTGGTGTTTCACAACATGGCAGCCATGCCAAAATGGGTATCTCTGCAAGTTTGATTTGGTAGAGTGGAACACCAGATGCCCTTCCTGACACAACCCCAAAAGGGATTTGTGTCTCCGACTGCAATCTAACCAGCGACCCTTCAGGTGTCTCATTTATATGTTAACCACTACACCATTCTTTTTAAGAATGTACCAGGTTTCTGATTTGGCTTCTACTAAAGTTTTTGCTATCTGTCTGATAGGTTCATTTTGTTTCAGCCTACTGATAGCCTCCTTCACACACTAGATAACTATAACTGATAAAGTAACCATTAGGATTAAATCGTCCAAATTCAGTTCAAAATTACAGGTTAATAAAAGGTTACAGTGAACATACTAGAGCAGGAGAGGGGATGAAAGGATGTTTTTTTCTTTAATATGAAGCGTGACCACTCACCCTCTACCTCAGCCCTGCAGCAAAATGCAATAAAGTTTAACCAAAGCCAATGTGCTGCTGCAGTAGTGTGTCATATTAAATTGTCATGGTCAATTGGAAACATTTAGTCATAATTTTTTGTTACAGTTACTTCTATTTCATTTAAACTGCTTTTATTTGGTAGTGTTTCACCTGTGTGTTCCGTTCTTTAGAGCAACAGAAACTATCTCTGGTTAACAATCATAAAACAACATTGTTATGGATAATCTAATACAGCACCGAGTGACTTCCTAGTTACATACTGAACATGAATTTTGGATTTTGTCCTCATTAACGACCAAAAACAGTTTGGATTCTCGTGTCCAGCGTAAAGCATATGGCTGATCATTGTGAACTTCAAAGCTGTCTATGTCGTAGCTCCAAAACTTCTGATCTGCTGTGTAAACTTTTTGCAGGATCATGCAGGAAGGACTCCACTGCAGTGCGCAGCTTACGGTGGTTACATCACCTGCATGGCTGTTCTCATGGAGAACCACGCTGATCCTAATATACAGGACAAGGAGGTAAGAAATTGCCTGTATTTGCTTGAATACGCTTTCATGTCTGACTTTTTTTCGTAAGGTTTAAACATACAACGTTAATGCTGTTTTTTTCTTTATGGGGGTCCAGGGCCGGACCGCTCTCCACTGGTCATGTAACAATGGCTACCTTGACGCTGTGAAACTGCTGCTGGGCTACAATGCCTTTCCCAATCAAATGGAGCACAGTGAGGAGAGGTGAGAACTGAGACCACAATGAAAGCAGCCGAGGTGAAGCTTAAAAAGTAGGAAAATAGATGTATGAATCACACTGTTTATGCTGTGCAGGTACACCCCTCTGGACTATGCTCTGCTGGGGGGGCACAGTGAGGTGACTCAGTTCATGCTGGAGCATGGTGCTCTGTCCATAGCAGCTATCCAGGACATCGCTGCCGCCTCAATCCAGGCGGTCTACAAGGGCTACACTGTCCGCAAGGCCTTCAGGGAGAGAAAGCAGCTCCTCATGCGACACGAGCAACTGCGCAAGGATGCAGCCAAGTGAGAGACACATATAGGGTCATGCCAGAGTTATAGGTATAATGGTAAAGTGAAGGAATTGGCATAACTAGCTTTTATTAACCAGCGTTAACAGAGCCTAGCAGTGATCTCCTTATGGCATCTGACAGTGGACTCATGTCTGTGCTTGTTCTGCTAGGTTTCAGTGCAGCATTTGACACTGTTGACCACAATATTGTATACATGGGTTAGAATACACAGTATTAAAGAAATACACTGCAGGGGTTTCAATCATATCTGTCTGACGGACTCAAATTTGTTCATGTAGATGGGGAGTCTTCTTCAAACGCAAAGGTTATTGAGGGAGTTCCACAGGGTCCTGTGCTGGGACCAATACTGTTTATATTATTTCCCTTAGAAAGCATTATGAGAAAACATTACATATATTTTCATTGCTATGCAGATGATACCCAGCTATATTTGTCTATGAAGCCAGGTGACACACAGCAACTAGTTAAACTAGTTGCTTAAAGACATAAAGATCTGACCTCTTCACTGGATGGTATAATCTTGCCTTGCAATAACACTTTGAGGAATCTTGGAGCTATTTTTGACCAAGATATGTCCTTCAGTACGCATATTAAACATACAGGCTTTACTATTGGAATGCATTATTATCGGGCTGTCCTAAAACACCCTGAAAGGATGATCCAGAATGCTGCAGTGAGTGTACTTACATATTTTTTCCCATGTTAGCTTCTTGAATCTTTCTACTCATATAATCAATCTGAAATATCAAGCCCCATAGGTATATGTTAAGGATACATGAAGCATGCATCTGCATACCTCTGTTGCATTTCTGTGAAAAGCTGAGGGACACCCAAGTTTATGAATATGATAAATCGAGAATGAGGTGACATAAGATTTTCAAATTGACATCATAGGTCGATCTCCTAAAACCCTTGGATGAGTTAAAATCCGAGTGAACTTCACCTCAAACTCAGAGGAAAGGACGTTTTTCCTCCCCTCCGTCGCCGAGTCCTTACTCATAGGGGCTCATCAGACTTCTCTCTCTAACATTGTAGGGTCTTTACCCTACAATATAAACAGGTGTCTGACTGAATTGAAAATATTATTATTTAGTGAACATTAACACATTTGGTTTGGTTAACATTTGGTTGCCCAGACAAACCCAGAACCACCACACACTTAAGCTGTAATCACTGATTACATGGCTTCATGGTGTTTATATTCATTAGAAGTTACTCACTGACATCCCTCTGTTTGTCTCACACTGTGTCTCGCAAATTACATTTACTTTGCCTTTGAAGCAGTCACACTCTCTCCATATCTATCTTTCTTTCTGTCAGCCCAGCACACACATACGTCTCCTCTCTGTCTGCCTCTTCCGACTCGTTCTTCTTCTGCCATTTGCTCACCAGTCTCATCTTTATTCTCTTAAACAACACTTTTGATAAGTAAATTTGTTTTCAGAGGGCACATTGACTTCAGGTTTTTATGGTAATCCAAGCAGGCAGTTTTATTTAGACATGCCTTTTAAGCAAAGCTTTTTTTCCACATATTACTAATGATAAGCTAATATCCTTATCAGATTATATTCAAGCTGCATAGAAGACGTCCAGGAATGTTCTTAAAAAAAGGTCCAGAGCTAGAAAATAACCAGAAACCTACAATACTGCCTGTACCAAATGACGAGGTTTCTTTTGCATTTTTTGCCTGGTTTTCTTTGTGTTTAGAAAGCGAGAAGAGGAACAGCGGAAGAGAGAAGCCGTGCAGCAAGTTTCAGGGGCCACAGCAGAGAAACGGAGGGTTTCACCCGTGAAAGCAGAGCAAGAAAAGCTGTCCTTAGTGAGCATTATAGAGGACTTATCCTTGAATGATTCGTCTGTGGAAACAAAGAAATCATCCAAAGCTGAACGCACTAAGAGCAAAGAGGAGAGACACAGAGGTACAAAAATACAGAACTCCTCAAATTTAGTCTGAAGTGTAAGTGTTAATGCGCTTACAAGTGAGGACACGCCTGTGCAATATCGCTTTAATAACTAACCATAATCACATCCCTTGTCTTTATTTTACCCTGTTAAAAAAAACAAACAAGGTGTGAATGCGGGAGTAAATGTGAGTGCGAATGGTTGTCTCTGTCTGTGTGTTAGCCCTGCGACGGACTGGCAACCTGTCCAGGGTGTACTCTGCCTCTCACCCTAGGACAGCTGGGATAGGCTCCAGCGCCCCCCGCGACCCTAAAAAAGGATAAGCGTCAGTGGATGGATGGATGGATAGATAGATAAAAATATAAACCACACTGCAACAGAAGTCAGTAAAAGTGTTTTATCAGTACTTTGTAAGTCTGCCTTTCTTTTTGATGAGACACTGAATCCTCTTCAGAATGATGGATGTCACTGTTGCATACTTATTTGAGGATATATTCTGCCATTCTCCTGGGACGGTTTTTTCAGCTGGTCTTTGCGGAAAGGATTGTGCTCCTCTGCTTTTCACCTTCATACCTCAAATGTGTTCTGTTAGATTCAAGCCATGCAACACATTTGGCCAGTTTTTACTTTACTTTACACCGATTCTGCCAGTGTGCTTTGGATCTTTGTAATGCAGGAATATTTGGCTCATTTGTTTTGATAATTTTCTGTAATACTTGTTGCCATCATGGAGTCTGATATCATCAAACCACTGCCTTTGCGTTTCCCGCTCAGGTTTGCAGTGAACTTGCTGGACTCCATCGTAGACAGTCCTTTACACTGTCCGAGCTGTCAACAAAGCTTTGACTCCCTTGTGTCTGAATTACTTTCAAAGCTGTGCAGTAGCACGCTGTCTGTGGACAACCACTACACCACACTTCTGATTAGTGATCTTGTGGCTCGTTCTGTTCTTTTCTGCAGCTGCAGCTCAGTCTTTGCTGATATTTAGTGGCTCGCTTATCTTCCCGTGTCCTTTACCATCTTTTTGATGACAATCAGATTTTTTAATTTCACTAAAAAAATTATTTTGTATAATCATGATGCAAATATACAGATATGCACAGCACATCAGATCCAAAATGAGAGAAGTTCCAGTCTTCAAAGCTAATTTCATAAACTCATTCATGCAATTAACTAACTAGAAATCAGAGGTGGACTCAATTTAGTTGGTCAGCAGCCTGTATAGTCAGTTTAGTCTGGAGTATTTAACTCTGTGAAATAATGCATTTTGAATCATTGACTTTAAATTGATATTGCACAGAGGTGTACTTTTAAACACTAATTTTAAACACTTTTTAGGTGTTTAAAATGAACTTTTAATTGGGCAAATGCATTCATCTTGACTAAACAGTACAGACAGTGGTGTTTTATTCATTTACATGATCTTTATTTTTTCATTTCAACTCCACTCCAACCAGTTCACAAAAGCAGGTCCTCTAGAAGAGGTAAAGAAGCTGAACCGCATGATTGTCCTGAAGCTTTGGGCTGCAGTCATGTGATCAGTGATGCTTCCCCCGATGCTCTGCAGACCACAAGGCTGACAGAACTTCTCTCCCCTTCCGGCTTCAGACCCACACCTCCCTCCATGCCCAAATTCAGGGAACGACTTTTGTCAAACTCACCCAGTCCTTCCACAGTCTCCTCTGTGGACCAAACTGAGGCCGGTAGAAGAGACTGCATGCCTCTAAAAAAGAGTAATGCTCACATGAGCGTGCAGACTGCCCGGGCAATTACCAATGCCCACACCTCTCCACAAAAACACAGACGACATAAGGAGCGTACTTCAGAGAAGGCCACAACCAAAGACCAAACTCGCTCAGCCTCATTAAGAAGGAGTTCATCTGTAGATCACAAAAGCCCCCCAAGAAAGGCTCAATCTGCCGCACACGCACCAATGTCAACACGTGCACACAGGGAGTACAACAAGGAGCATCGCAGGAGGAGGAACGAGGCTGCACGCATCATCCAGCGTGCCTGGAGAAGGCGAGTTTACATTTTTCTCCTTGATCGTGTTTGTGTTTGTACCAGGAGGGTTGGGGGAGATTGGCAGCGCAGTATGATATCATAAGGCACACTTTATTGTCACCTTAGGGAAATTTTTTGTGGACTCAAGTGCCGTCACAGAAGCTGCCTTCACTAAGAGTCAGTAAACATTAAAAGAAAAGAGAAATTCATAAATAGATTTAAAAAAGGGGCCTATCACAACATTCAATACACACATTGCAGATAATCTTAAAAACTGTTATTTAAATGCTTGATCGATGCTGGGACAAATTAATTTTTTTGAAGCGATTCAGACCGCATTTAGCATTCAAAATTTTGGGGCAGTGCCATGTGGCACCCACATGTGCCCCCTTGCGAATACTTTCCCGCCCCCGTCTTTAGTCTGGATGCCATGAACAGTGGAGCAGTGGGGGGGAGAGCGTGGGAGAGGGTTGAGACAAGAAGACGTGGGACAGAAAGGCTGTAATCTAGAAGTTTCATAGTATTTTAACAAGAGGCTAAAAGTTCAGCCGGGCTGCTCTAATAGCTACCAGAAGCCTCTCGTTGCTTTTCTCTCCGTCTTGCACACACTGCGTTTCTCTTAGTGGATGCCAGTCCACTGCAGGAGGCCCTCTGTTTCTCCTCAGCTTCACAGTTATATTGTGTATATGTTGCCTATTAATTTCCTTGAGTAAACTGTTTACTTTGTTTACGCTTAGTGAGAATTAGTGCGAGGACTTGCCAGCTTTTAAAGCTTTGAACGCTGTTAGAGATGATTTTTATAGAACTGCGTGCATGTGTTTGTGTGGATGTGTGTTTGCAGGTTTTGTGCACGCAGACGGAGGGAGGTAAAAGCCCATGAAGAGGTGGAGTCCAGACATTCAAACTACACCCATAACAGGAAGAAGGTGGAAATCCGAGCTCAACCTGCTAAGCCAACACAGAGAAAGAGCTCTGTGCTCCAAAGCATCTACGGTAAGATCACCAGCATACTGCCCCAAAACTGTTTTTAGTTTCCCGAATCATTCTATTGCTTTATTTACACTCACCAGACACTTTATTAGGCACACCTGCTCATTAATGTAAATATCTAATCAGGCAATCACACACCTGCGATTCAGTGTATTTCGGCTTGTAGATGTGGTCAAGATGACCTAGTTAAGATGAAACTGATCATCAAAATACGGCAGAAAAATTATTTTCTACACTTCACAGGCTGGTCAAACTCTAAGGGTAAAATGAATGAAAAGCCTACTTTTCTATGGATCAGAGAGTTTTAATATCATTGTCACTTGATCAAAACTGTAAGTCAGAGAGGAAACGGTCAGGTAATGAGTGAGAAACAGTGGTGTTATTAAAGATGTTTAAGGAATTGAGCATCTGCCCGTCTTAATTAAAAGTGGTATTAAAAGCAGATGAAGCTACAAATCAAGGTGTATAGAACAGACCGTAAGCAATATCTTATAAACGTTGAATGACAGAAAGGTCTTAGTGTTAAAGAAAATGTAGATCTTCTGGGATTTTCCCACACAATCATCTCTGAATGGACTGGAAAAGAAAAAGACATCCAGTGAGCAGCAGTTCTCTAGTTTGAAATCCCTTATTGATGCCAGAGGTCAGAGGAGTATGGAAGCCCGTTTCCGCCACTAAAAAAAAAAAAGTATCCATAACTCTAAATTTCGAGTTATCTTTCTCGAAATTTTGACTTATTAATTTGAAATTTTGAGAAAAGTAGCTTGAAATGTTGACTTTTTTCAAAAGTTTGAGTTAATAATCAGTAATCTACATGAATGACGTAATTTCCTTGTTACCCGGAAGCGGAAGCCCTCAGCTACAAATGCTACAGTTAAGCTACCAGTATAACAGCCAGTCATGAATGCACAAATTGCTGATTATTTTCAGCGTAGCGTCACAAATGATGAAATGCTTGTGTTATGAGCTGAATCACATGGTGTTACTATCAGCAAACGTACTCTTGGAAGCGCCAGTTTGTTGCGATCCGGTTTTGAGTGTGCAGTCCACGTAGATTACTGATGGCAGAGATAACTCAAAATATCGAGTTACTTTTCTTAAAATTTCAAGTTAATAAGTCAAAATTTCAAGAAAATAAGTTGAAATTTTGAGTTAATAAGTCGATATTTCGAGTTATGGATACTTTTTTTTTTAGTGGCGGAGGAGAATGCCCAGAGTAACTCAGTTAACTACTCATTATAGTCAAGGTATGCAGAAGAGCACCTCTGAGCACACAACATGCCTGGTCCACTGAATCCTGGTTTCTGCTGTGACATTCAGATGGTAGGATCAGAATTTGGCATAAACAGCATGGAAGCACAGGTCCACCCTACCTCATATCACTGGTTCAAGCTGCTCTTGTTTGTGATGTGGGTGATATTTTCTTGACACACTTTGGACCCCTTAGTATCAAATGAGCATCATTTAAATGCTGCAGCTTACCTGAGTGTTGTTGCTGACTGTGTCCATCCCTTTATGACTTCTGATGGCTGCTTCCAGCAAGATAATCCACCGTGTCACAAAGACCAGACCATCTTAAACTGGTTTCTTGAACCAAATAGTAACTTCACTGTACTCAGAAACCACTACAGTCACCACATCTCAATACAATAGAGCACCTTTGGGATGTGGTGGGACAGGAGATTCACATCGTGGACACGTTTACAAGAACTGTGCCGTGCTGTCGTGTCAATAGGGTCCGAAAATCTCTAAGAAATGTTTCCAGTTCAATCTTTGCCATAAAGAATTTCATAATATATTTCACATATATTTAATATATCTTTCTCTCACATCTATTTAAACATGTGTGGTCGATCCTGTGACATTCCACTGAACTCTGAAAAAGGAGAAGCATGAAAACTGAGCAGAGCTATTTTAGACTAAACCTTTGAGAGCAATGCTGCACTTAATTGCTCTGGTAATGTAATATTGGATTAATCAGGATGATGGCTCACCGCTGAAATAATGACTTTTCAATTTCCAAACATTAAGTTTTAATGTTTCTAGTGGCTGAAAAGCTCAACAAATGCAACACTGTGACCTGTGAGTCTGCCTGAGTGCACACCAAAACACGAAAAACACTTTTTTGGGGAGGAGTGTTGTCATGCGAGCAAAGAGATGATAGGAAATGAGGATGCTGGGAAAGCACTCTTAACAGAAGCAGGCACCTTGCAGTTTGTAAACAAGCAATAATGGCCAAAAGACAGCCATGCTAATAAACATGTTATAGAAATTATCACCTGCAACTTTGCCACATTAGAAACAATGGATATCAAGTGTAGGACAAGCAGCTTTAATTTTAACTCTAATAGTTGTAGATGAACTCTTGGTGTGCACTGACCCTTTGCAGTTTTAAAGCAGCTCGTGCACGCTGCAACTCCTGAGTTAAATATGCTTATTAGGAATGTTTTTAATTGGCTAAACCTTGAAATCATGTTCGGTTAAGTTAGCAGAAAATAGTGGCTGAGAAATCAGTGAGTTGGATGTGCAGGATGAATTAAAGCTTTAGCATTTGAAGATTTTGTAAGATTAAAAGAAGAAGAAGTTACAAATCCAGCTGTGTAAGAAACACTGTAAGCGACCCGTGGAAATGTCTGGCTGATGCTTCAATCCACACGCCGGGATGGTATCAGCCTGGTTTCCCGCGTGGAAGCTCTGGTAAGGTTTCGCCCTCACAGACAGGCCTGACCTTCTTAACACATCACCAGGTGATGATGGGAGGACAGACAGAAGCCTTGCTGCGCCAAAACACAGAAGCCCGCACAGCCTCTCTGCTCACGGTCCGACCCGGTCTTCTGACGTTGTTTTCCCCTCCCCCTTCTCGCCTCTCCTCCCTCTCTACCTGACAGTGCTGGCACTGTGAAAAGTTCAGAGCTGTCAGGGGGAATGTCAGACGACTGCGTAGAGCTATCTGCTGAACACACACATTAACAACACCCCCCCTCCCAAGCACACACACACACACACACACACACACACGAGAGTCATTTTATTACTCCATCTCTCGTATCTTGAAGTAGACAGATGTATGAACTGTGGACGCTATCACCTGCACGCTTAATTATTATAAACCATTTTTAAAAATAGCTTTCCAACACTCTTATATCTAAAAAATCTGTGTCAGAACAAGATCTTGTTTTCATCACAGATAAAAAAAAATGTATTACTTGTTTAATTTGCTAATATAAAAAACTTATGTGTTTAAATATTATTTTTAACGTCCCAGACAACAAGACTGGTAGTGGTTAATGTATTTCTCTCATACATGAAAGCTCCCCAGTTGAATTGTGTGAGTGGACACAAACCCCGCCACAGAGTCCTAGAGCTGGTCTCAACCCTTAGATCTTGTAAAGGAAATTTGTAAAAATCTGTCCTGGAGTCACCTTAGAATAAGTGGGCAAGTGAAACTGCAAACCCCACCCTCCCTAAAGAGTGTACATATGAAAAGTGGAGTAGTAAGCATACAACAAGTGGAGCTCAGTGAGAAAAAAAACTAGATTCTGTCCTGGGCCACTGTGCCGCTCCCTGACCTGTCCTTTAAAACTATGACCTACAAGCCAATAAAATGGGGTTCCAAAGTGATTAACCTGTATTTGGCTGACTTCCAGGTATTTCTTGGAAGGAGTCTACGACTTACGATTAAAAAAATTGAAACTTTTATGTTAGCCTGCCATTAAATAGGTGGTGATGGCTTTATATTGGTAGATAGTGGTTAGGTCTACTGAGAGCACGAAGGAAACCAAATATGTGAAAGCCTATATCAAAACAGCGCCTTTCCCACTGCATAGTAGGAGCAATTGCCCTGGCCTATATTAGCAGGGGTCTTCACATTTACTCAGTTTTATGGGCAAGATGTAACAGGACCAAACCTGGCACATTCTCCCCTGTGAAGTGCTATTGGGGACAGTTGTCTTCTTAACAGTCATGTCTAGAGATGGACCGATCCGATATTACGTATCGGTATCGGTCCGATACTGACCTAAATTACTGGATCGGATATCGGAGAAAAATAAAAAATGT